GGGGTGAATTAAGCAACCGCTCTGTGGATATTTTGAGTGCATTGTTGCTTCACTTTGAGGAAAGCCATCACAAGCACAGTAGATGTGACGAAGGCAGCCCACCTTTTCAAAAAGTACGTTTGCTCCTGTAGTGCCCCAGACAATTAAAGGTCGCATGGTTGATATATACAGCAAACTTATAATGAAATATTTCTTATAAGGCTGAACTACAGAAGTCCAAAACACTTTGTTTTGTGTTATTATTCGTATGCATATACAGGGTGTATAAAAAAAGGCAACCTTTAGAAATCAACCATATTGTTAGAATTTGAATGCCTTTTCAATTGCACATATATGCTGAACCGTAGCGCGTGAACTACGACCTTTAGGAATACTAGCGCAATGCTCTGCCAACTGAGCTACGCGGTCAGGTTGGTTCGAGTAAGTGGCCGGGCATATTTTTCCCACCGTGGCCGGGCATATTTTTCAAGCTCGCCCGTTGTGGATATACACTCAGAGTAACATCACAAACATCATATTCACCTGAGTACACAACACCAACACAGAAAAAAATTCATATTACTAGATTACATTGGTATCGAAGGAACTAGATTCTGTTCCGAAATACCGACGCGACCTCACCTGTCCAATACTGACCGAGGTTCAAGCGAGCATTGGGCTAGTATTCCAAAGGTCGTATGTTCGATTCCCACCGTGGCCGGTGGCATATTTTTCAAGCTCGCTCGGTGTAGATATACACTCACATCGTAACATCACAAACATCATAAGATGATGGATTATTACAGATTTATTTCGAAAAAGATCATTCGAAGTAATCGACTCTTGCTATACTGGAATAACCAGGACGATTTGTTCTGATCCACCTCCAAAGATATTCGTTTTTCAGCTTATTCACAGACCACAAGATCATTGTCGTAAATCGGAAGTATAGTGACATGTGTTTTAGTTGGGGAGAGGGGTTAATAAAAAGGTGGCTTAAAATGTTTTATCCAAAAGGTGGAGAGTTATCAGAGAAGATGTTATTTGTGGGAGCGGGGTTATTAGGGACCTTAAGCAAACAGGACGGCAACGCGACGACGACGGCTATTCACACAATGATCTTCCTGATCTCGTACAAAAGAAATGAATAATTAAAAGCCCCACGGGAGTTAGAGGCGTTGTGTTAGGTCTTTTTACAACGGAAAACCAGAGATTTTCACGTCTCGTGTACAACGCATTGAAATATAACTAAACGTTACTTATAGAATATAGTTCAATGGTACAACGCAAACATGTCAAGACGCGACAAGTGAAACTACAAATTTGCTCAGAAGAAGCGTTTTTAACCATAAAGCCTTTGGCTTTGTTTTAATCTCTTCAAACTGAACTCAATTCATACATACTGCATGCAGTGGATAATACATAACAACTCTTCTTTGCAATAATTTATTCCTAGGATCACGATACATAATCGTAGACAGTTGCAGATTGAACTTCGACGTTTCGAACGAAGGTCCTTCGTCGGTGCAGAATATATCAGTTACGTTTTTCTGTTTTCATACCAATACGGCAATAGGCAATAAAGATCAGGCTTATAGCTGTCGAACGCTGCCTCAAAATGGCATTTTTCCACCGCATGTAAAGCTATTGTCTGTGTATTGAAATTATTCACATTTGGGATTCAAATTGAAGTCCCTTGTCGTTGAGTAAATATGGCACAATTTAACGCATGTGTAAGCATCGCAAGTTTTGATAAACTTTTACTCGCAATATTACATCGAAATTGAGTGGTTAAAATATTTTTCAACACTGGAAGCTTGCAGACCGGGCTCGCAATGGCCAATGTTCGAAAATTGGAAGAACATTTACATCCTAAAGGATGATCACATATTAGGAAGCACCGCCACTGTTTCTGCCACTGACTTAATCAAGAGTTTACATGTAGACATAGAGTAGAGACATACAGAGACGTAAAGCCTGGTTCACACGATGAAATAAGCACAAGCAGCGGAACCTTTGATGTTCATAAACGTAAGCATAAGAACACAACCGTGATTTGTTCTTCTTATGTTTATGCTTATGCACATCAAAGGTTCCGCTTGCTTATGCTTAGTTCATCGTGTGAACCAGGCTTAACTGACCGTTGTAAACACTGCACAAGCTTACGTTTTCATGTACCCACTTTTTTTCAGGCGACCGGGCAAAAAATGATCAACTGCGCGTGCTCAGCAAGTTCAAAGTGATTCGTCATCAGGTCGTCATCCAATCAGATGCATGCATCTAGTAACTTGCCGAGCATGCGCACAAAAAAGGTGGGTACACTAGTTACGTCTCTGTATGTAGTCTACTCTGTGATATAGACATTACACATGGCGTCACAGTGCCGATGACGATGCATCTGGAGGACAAATTAGCAATCTATGCATAATATAACTTTTGCAAACAAAGCAAATTTTGTAAAACTTCATAATAACATTGTATTGAAGTGGTTAATTTTTGCGCTGTATGTGGTTGTTGTACCCGAACAGATATTGTTAGGGAACATCTGGAGGACACTCTAAGGATTTGTGACGTCAGTGCAATGGGTCTATTAAGTTTCAACTTTACGTTAAAGGGTATAAACTTTGTATTAAAACAGATTTGTAAACTGTCACAGGCGCCACGGGTAACATTCATAAAAACTCTTACGCAAGCATTTTCAGAAAGCACAAATAAAGAACACGAAACGAAAATTTTGATCCACTTTTATTTTTTAAATCTAGTGCAACATTTTTGTATCACTCTATGAGTCCACAGTCTGCAATACTTTAAATCTTAAAACATCAATTGGGTTTATATCTACTTCTAGTTTATATTAAGTTATGGAAAAAGTTATATATTGGTAACTAAATATAGTTCTTAATCCGAATACGGACTTCGCCGCGTTTGCAGGACGAAGCAAATCGTTACACAGAGTGGACAAAGTGCCAAACTTTCTCAAACCATCAACTGGAATTTTTGACAGTTGTTGCCACTGGTCGTTACATGCTAAAACCGCCAGATCAAACGAGGCCGGAGAGGGCACGAGAGTTGGCAGATCTTGGTTAGCTGTTCTCAATGCTTTCCCAACACTGTCGTGTCTAATCTAGTATATAGAGCTTGCAATGTCCCCTGCATGTAGCAATGCGTGACTGCCTAGTCTCATCCTCATTTGACAGGAGTTTAGCCGGTTTTCCACTTAACGTGGAGTTACACGAGCAACAAAATTGCTGCAACTTGCAACAAAATCTGATTTCAACGCATGTTAAGTAGAAATGTCGACACATGTTGTCTTGTGATTTGTAATTTATGTGCAAACATTTTCAATTAACATGCGTAGAAATTCGATTTTATTGCAAGTTGCAGCAATTTTGTTGCTCGTGTAAAGGCGGTTTTCCAGTCCTCGCACGAAGCTCCTCGCAGCTCGCTGCGAGTGATGCATGAGCACTTTCATCCAATCACAATGCTTAACAGTTAACTTTAATTAGATGCAAGCACTCACAGGCTTCGTGCGAGTGCCGGAAAACCGCCTTAACTCCACCTTAAGTCTAGCAATTTTTTTCGCGCGAAGCGACCTTTTTCCTTTGTCGGCATCCATTTCGCCACGTCTTGCTGACGTAGTAAGTGATACCGATAAAGGAAAAAGGTCGCTTCGCGCGAAAAAATTCGCTAGTGGAAAACCGGCTTTAGACGAAGAGAAATTATTATTTCCCTTCGCTTGCCTTTGGGAATTTTTGTTTTAATTTATTCTATAGTTACTTCACTATTACACTCAAAAACCTACGTTCCATTACACACGTGAACGTTGGTTTGCGAACTGAAAAACATATCAGGGCTTGAAATAACAGCCGATCACCGATCGGGAAGAAATTGCTTATTATCGGAGGAAAAGCAGGGTTTCCAATTCAACCTGGAAAAGCAGGGAAAGTCATGACTGCCGATCACCATGATCGCGGGAACTTTGGGAACGTTATTATTTCAAGCACTGTAATATATCTGCATAATAAAGTGTTCTGCATACATATAAATAGAATTTTTCATTTCGCTTGGTGTACATGTAGTAATATATAATATTATAACAGTATAATATTGTGTGTATAATGTATATATTCATCTAACTATTTAACTCGTAGTCAGTGGGATCTCTACATTCGCCGGTGCGGAAATGCCCGCAGATGGTAGGGTGGCACTCATGGTTGAGGGTGTAGCGCCCGCAGTTATGTCGGTCAGTAACGGCGAGGGGTTTGCAGTCACGGTGGGACCTCCGGCCGACAGGAGGGAGGGCTGTTCGGAGGGATTAAATGACGGGTTTAGTACTACCGCGGGTGCAGGGGAAACTGTTCCTGTGTTAAGTTGTGGGGTAAGGGCGGCGGGATTTAATGGTTCGTTCACTAACCCAGAGGCTTGCGTTGTATCACTAAAGTCAAGAAAAAGTGACGATTAGGTTATATTTGGTATATTAATGTATTTCAACATACTCCGAATTATATACTAGGTCATATATTAGAACAAACTTAGAGATGATATATTTCATCTGATACACTGGAGTCCAGAAAGTGAAGCCAGCTTCGTGTTAAATGGGAATCGAGCTGGCCCACTAAGCAAGATCTCGACTGACCCGAGATCTTGGGTGACCGGGCTGGGAATTTCCCATATAAACGCAAAGGCCCGGGCTGGCTCGCCTAAGCGGGCTGAGTGTTATGTTTATGCGAATATATTGTTGTAAATAAGACCGATTTCGATTATATCCGTGAAAGTTGTTCGAGAAAGTGCGAATTTCAGGCTCGTGAAAAAATATATTTGTATTATTAATACTATTTATAGCAGTAAGACCAGTGGTTTGTTTTGGCGAGCCAGCCTAGCCTGCAAGCCAACCCGCCTCAAAAGTCTCGTATGTAAACAAGGGACACGTTGGTCAAATTTAGCGAAATTTTTCCCACTTGTGCGGGCTCGTATTGTCAGCGGACATCTTACAGAAAGTCATTGAACTAAAAATAACTGGAACGCCACGTTCGAGCAGAAGTTTGAAGCTAAATTATACAAGGTCGTACACACTGTCAGACTTTAAAAAGCCCGTTTTAAAATAAAAGGCCCGTTTCCCTTTCGATTCGAATCTTGCCATGAAAACGTTCAAAACGGCATGCTTCGATCGCCCCCTGCATTGTCTCGCGAATAAATCGCGCAGTAGAAACACGCGTGGAAGTGCGTGTCTGGGAGTCAAAACTGGCTTCATGGGAGTCAAATTTTGGCTTCAAAATTTGCATGCGCAGTTTACTGAACGTAGCGTTCCAGTTATTTTTAGTTCAATGCAGAAAGTAGACGGTTCTGTGCAAAATGCAAGTTTCAATTTTTCAGCACAAGTCCACTGAAAATGCGAGACTACGATACTGGGAGAAAATTTGCTGAATATGACCGGCGTGGGATGAAATCATCTCGGCAAAGCGAGCTAGCTCGGGTACCCGGGCTGGCTTGCCTCCATATAAACACCCCCTAAGTTACTAGTATAAATCAATGCCTATATATCCATTGTAACGACTAGATATACCAGTTTGGAGCAGTTCCCTACCGTTTATGTGGGCTGTACGGCAGAGGTTGCTGTACAGATGAACTAGGTGACGTCATGGTTGGCATTCCAGTGATCAGAGGATTTGCCTGACTTGATGACTGACCATGCTGCTGTGTTGGTACTGCAAATGGATTCACTTGACCAGGAGTACCGCTATCAGCGAGATTTAAATTCACCATGCCAACATCGAGACCTGTAAGAGTTAAGACTCGTACAAGTTAGGAAGAGTAAAATTCAAGAACTTTTCAAGGCCATGTATCAGGAAATTCAAGGACTATAGGGCAGAAAAGAAGGCGTTAGAAATCACAGAAAGAAGCAAAGTTAAACTGTTCATATAGCAGTTTTAATGAATTTCAAACAGCTCTGTGAGATACGAACAAAATCAATCCAACAATGCCCGTCCGTTTTTTCATGTCAAACAATTTCAGAAAACACCAAAAACTAAGCATGAAGAATTTAAGGATTTTCAAGCACTTTTTTATAAAGCTCTTCTTCTAGGGACCTTGACCATTTAGAATGGTAACGCGACGATGGCAAACAAATTGTTGGACTAAACGTTTGTAAAGAAAACCTGGAATTAATCTAGTTCAAGCTTGGATCGAGGTTATTTCTGACGTTTATGGTTTAAGATTAGCAAGATTAATACTTAAAGTGGCTCCGTACAGTTCTCTAAAATTTTAATTACAGTACATCTCGGGTAACCTTCGCTTTCAACCAAATTTATATTGAATACGCTTACGACAGGGCAATATGATCATTTCCATATATGAACACATGAAAACAGTGTTGGTGTTGCTATGGCAACCATGTCGTTTTATCGTTTATTGTCTTAAACTGTGAAATTTGAATGGTCAATTCTTAGTGTAGGTAGTAATGCAAGTTGTCCTGGCTTACTTTGTATACACCACAACTTTCATACTAATTTACACAAATTTGTAAAACGTAATGCATACAAGAAAATTATGTACAAATTGTCGAGTTCTTTAAAATATTACATTTTAATATGATTAGACCCTACCATTTGTTTGTACTGGTGCGGTGGTTGGAGATGTCGATGGCGCCATGAGGGGAACCTAGTAAAAACAGTACAAGGTCAGTAGACAGAACACATTAGTAGTATTTGTTTAGTAGTACTTTAAAAGTAACATTTGTGGGGCCTTCATGGACAAAGGACAGGGCGCGAAATAACGGCTGGAGGGACGCCGGTCAAGGTGACCGGCCAACTCAATTTTAGCTCGGACATACCGTATTGCTGGCCGCTCATATTATTCAGCTTAAAGCAAAGCCTAGTAAAGTATATCCCTAAAAATGTGACTATTTTCCCAGTATAGCATTACAAAAAGCCTTACTGTAATCAGTAATTAAAAACTCCTTCACATAAAACAACTTGCACTGCGCTAACTAATAATTAACTCTTAAGCCAAAAGCATGGCCATGGATTTGTGACGTACTGCGTGGGAAAGTTGGCATACATTGAAGTTCTTTTCCAACCTCGTGGTTCTTTCCCGCAAGATATTGGACAACATGTTATGGTTCTTAATTATAATGCCTGACAACTTTGTTTCGATTATTAATTCAAATGAAGATTAGTTGTTTGTTTTCTTTTACCAAAAGTAACCGGTCAAAATGACCGGCAAGGTAAGAATTTGACCGGACAATTCCGCATTCTGGCCGGACATTGTCCGTTGACCGGCCGTTATTTCGCGCCCTGAAAGGATAACCTTGTGTCAAGAGGATTTTCTCTACAATAAAAACCTCTGTCATAGTGTGTGTAAGCTGAGGTGCACATATTGTATTATTGAATCAAATACATTGCAAAGTACAGGGCCGCCCAGAGGTTGGCGGGGGCCCGGGGCAAATTTTTTTTAGGGGGCCCTATCTAAAAATTTCGGTCAGTGCACCATTTTAGGGGTAAAAAAATTTTTCGGACGTAAAATTTTGCCGGACGAGTACGTTGCAAACGCTTTCGAGTGACTTTATCTCATTTTTTTAGGCCAAAATTCGGTACTTAGCCCAAGAAAACAGATTTCTAGTCCTTTGCGCGGGAATATTTAACACACAAAAAAGGCGGGGGGCCCTACAAAAATTTTTCAGGGGCCCCCAGCAACTCGGGGCCCGGGGCAAATTGCCCCCTTTGCCCCCCCCCCCCCTCTGGGCGGCACTGGCAAAGTATTATACCTCTGAAAAGCCATCAGGCGCGGGAGTTATTACGTGTGCTTCTTTAGGTCTGTTTGCTTCGTCCCGTAGTGGTATTCTGTGCAAATATCCATAGCCAATACCACAACCAATGCTGTGAATGCAAAAGCAAATTATGACATATTAGTATTTAATTAGCTTATGCTATTCCAAGGACTATACATTACTACACAAAGCCAAACTGAAATGTAACATAACTGCTGTCATATTTGAACCCTTAACTTTTGGTTTGCCAACCTTGTACCCAGAGTAGGTGTGAGGTTGTTGGTTTGCTAGTCAATGCTCTACCAACTGAGCTGCAAGGTCAAGTGTGTAGTTTAGACCTGATAGTTAGGTCTGACTTATTGCTCAATTGGTGAGAACATTGGGCTACTACAAAACCAAAGGTCAATGGTGAGATTCCCACTGCGGTCAAAATTTTTCAACTTGTGCAGTGCAAATTAAGCCACTGAATTGGATTACGATCAAGTAGTATAATTACCCTGAGTTCTAATCCCACAATCATATTTAAAATTATAACATGTTCATTACCTTCCTTCACCACCCCATGCTGTGTTAGGAGTAATAGTTACCTAAAATGACATATTTCAAATGTTTCTGAACCTGTTACACCAATATTTTGAAAGTTGGAACATTGTACTGTACTAATTATAGTAGGGTTTTCCATGAGCAGTTGTGAAAAAATGCAACTATAGGTCATCTGGTAGGAATTCATCACTCCAACCAACTGAGCTATATTGCACTGTACTGTTTGCATTGTACACCGTACTGTACCTCTCTGCATCCATCGGTTTCTGAATTATAAACATAAAGTTTTAACGGTTTGCCTTCGTGACTTTCTATCAAAGCAAACAAGTCTTCAGTCTAATAATAGATCAAAAGAACAGATTAGATACCCAATATATAAACAATACATGATATTCCATGAGATGAATAGAAAAAATAGCCACACATAATGTACTGTACACAATAATATGTTTTTAACATTAATGTTATTTTAAACTAAGAATCACAAAACATACAATTTCTAGCAAAATAGCATTCATGAAACATAGGTAGATTTTAAATGTATAGGTACATTTTAAATGTACAAAATTGCAACACTTCAAGATATCACATAAGATGTGAATATGTGCAACCGACCTCATGCAGCACAGAGTCGGCTCCAATAATGTAATCTGTGAATGGTCTGAAGCCTGCAATGTCTGCTGGGGAATTGGGTTGGATTTCCTAGAATAGAAGATAACATCACAAAATTACTACACTATCTACCATTATCTTGGCCATTGTGAAATCGTTGTGTTGTTTGCTTACCAGTACATGCCAAACATTTTCATTTGCACCTTCGAATGAACAAAATCTGATGCTTACGCCAAGTAATCCTTGGCCTCCCCATAGGTTACTCGGAGTAATACTTGCTTCTGTTTGGAGGAAAAACAAAACACTTAATGGTACTGATAATATAAATTGTAATGATAGCATATTGATATCGGCTAATATACTAGGTCCTAATTTTTTCCTTAAATACTGGTAAATTCTTGTATTGGTATATTACTAATTGTAGTTAGGGGAGCATGCCTTGATCAATGATCACAACAGTTGGATGTGACCAAATGCCAAGTAAAGTGCTTGATGTTGCGATAATTTGCATACGTACGTACCAGAGGTACACTAATATTACAGTCTGGTACGTCTTAGTTTGTTTTCAGCCACATACCACATTTCGCTATTTGCATACTTACATTTTGCTGGTACCATATGACCTTACCAAACCCAATGTATTCAAACCGTAATTAAGCCGTTATATGGGCACATCTGACATATCTTGGCATGAAAAATTATTGGACTGATGGGACGCCTAAGGAATGAGTCTGTTCTAGTGTTTTGTATGCAGTTGTCGTCCTTCTTGTTATAACTCGTAGTATCAGGTTACTGTATTAATACCTTTCAGAAACCTGTACTTTATGTACTTTATTAGACTAAGTACACCTTGAGTCTTAAGTCTGTACCAGTACGTGGCAATAATCATTGCATCATGGAGTACCAGTCAGGTACGACTAAAAATCGTGCACCCTGCTTGATATTTACCACGGACTCTACATGTCTTGCTGCTATAGACAATCATCTTCACAGGTTTTTCAGCATTGGCCTTTAGTATTTCTTTCAGACTCTCATTATCCTGATCCTGAATACAAAAAGCAAATTAGGATTCGCACAGAACTTGATATAACAGCCAATCAATGACCAGCAAGAAATTTTTTACGAGCAAAACTAATTTATTGCAGTGACATTCAGCAATGCCGCTGGTGGCGTAGTGGTTAAGGCACACATCTACAAGCTTGTAGAACAGGCTCAAATCCCATCTGAGTCTGTTGTAAATTTTTTTCTTAAAATATTTTTTCCAACCTGTTTTGTTAACTCTCAAATTGTTAACAAGACAATTGTTAAGGGTAGGGATTGGTTTATCTTATAAAAATTTAATTTTGACTATATGAATGGCAGTGTTACTAAATAGCTGTTTAGTCACAGCATATTGTGAACCACCTTATGTGAATAGAAAAAAGGTTCTTCTGCAGTCGACCCCAGTTGATTGAACTGACATACAAGTACCATATTCAGTTGATAAGTGGTGAAAAATTGACCAGTGTGATAATCTGGACCATATACCCTACCATACTTTATGGAGATAGTTGAGGACCATATTGCCCATGGTTTCAACATATAACTTAGTAAGGTTTAATACAATATGAGTGGTCAAAGTAATGCTTATGTGAAACTATTTTACAAATATTACAAAATTTTTATTAACCAATTTTTTGTACAGTAAATTAAAAATTTGATCACTAAAATTATATTTAAATATATGTACCAATCTGGTATTTTCAATGGCCACAATAAAGTCAAAGAATGGTTCCAAGCCAGCCTTATACCCTGGGGAATTATCTTGCACCTAAAAAACAAAGAACATTTCATAACTTAGGAAGTCCAGCAACAAAACGTGTACAATATCTAAAAGCTTGTTTACAAGTGCAAAACAAAGGCGCTCGTGTGGGAATTTGCACGGACACAAACAATGCAATCAGTAAATTGCTTACTCTCAAAACATGGTATCCTTCCGTTCCTCCACCTGGAATTTCTTCTACAGACGATCCTGCTCCCATTTCAAATAAAATTTAAAATTTGGACGTTCTTTTTTAGAAATTGCACCAAGAAAAATTGATCTCGAATTTTGAATGTTGACGTGGTACATCACGCGTGGAAATACATGCTAGACAGCAGTCTTTTTCCACGCAGCTTATTTGCTCGGTATTTGCATGAGGCGCCTGTTAACAACCTGCGAACAGACAACAACACAAATACTTTTTGTACTGAGGTCTTTTTTACAAGAATGAGCTCTTCTATAGACCGGACCAGACTGTTTTAGACCTAACAGGGAAACGCTACTGATAACGCGGACTATAGAGGACATTCTGCTGTAACTATTGACAATGACCCAGTTATTCTTTAGTTATTTTATAGGTGCACTGCAGTACTTTGACAAGTGACTGCAAACTAGTTCAATTGCAAAGATAATTGCGGATTGCAAGAGATACAAATGCGTTTATAGAATTAATTATTATAGTTAGAAAAATTGTTGAATGGTCGGTAAAACCAGAGCCTAATTTTTATCTGCTCGGTTGTGCCGCGTGAAAAGACTGAGACCGACTTGTGAAGAACAATACAAAATGCGGGACAGCGCGGGAAAATTTCGGATGAAAACAACGTGTGGTTTTATTGTCAAAAAATGGCCTCGAAAACTAGTATGAAAGAAGACAAAAACACGGAGAAAAATGAAGTTTTATTGCACGAAGGAGATGGTTTCATGAGCACAGAGCAACTGACGAAATGTAAAAATGCCGTTTGTATGATTCGCTATGAAACAAGATGCTCAAACTCGGGAAAACGTTTACTAAAGTAAGTATTTAATAGAATGCTGTTTTTAGGGTTTGTATTATAAATCCAAGTGAGTATATATATACACTTTAAGACCTGACCAGGAACGACTGTGAAAAATGCAGCACAAGGTCCTCTGGTAGGAATTACTATTATAAAATGGTACTCGCACTACTATAAAATATTGAACAGTTATTAAAAGGGTCAAGATTATAAACTCTTAAAGGGGTTTTCAAAGAGTATAACAAAGGAAAATCTGCCATGCAGTATACCTAATATCGCTTATGTAATCAGGTTATGGATTTATTTTATAGACGTGGCTCAGGCTTCTATGCCAAGGCGAAAATCTTTGGTGTTGAATATTGCTGCATAGTGACAAACAATCATGTTATCAGCTGTACAGAAGATGCCTTGATTGCAATTGCTATTTTTCACTATGAGAGAGAGAACCAAGGAATAACAGTTCAGCTTAGACCAAACAAACTATTCCATACAAATAAGGTAAATTTTGTGAAGTGATATGATGTTCTACGATATTTGCAGCTATTGGTGAACAGGTCGGGGAAGATTAAGCCATTTCTATTAAACACATACTCAATTGGTTAAGGTGTTGTCTATTCTCCCATGGAATACAACCAGCCAATGACTGTTAACCAGCCCCACCGGTGATTGGCTTAGCTCAAATTTTAAATTGCAAAGTTAACACTTCTTACTAGGGGTGCACCGGAACTTGGTTCCGGCCGGAACCCTGATTTTTAAAAGTTCCAGTTCCGGCCGGAACCAGAACTCTATTATTTTCAGAGAGATAGAATATCAAACGTTTTATTGTCTAACAAAAGTTCACAGTGGAAAGAAATTTGGACTACACAAGGAAAATATACACTAGTAACACTTCATTATGACGTTTAACGTTTGTCAATCTTTTTATTCTAACATTTGCAAGCTCCAACTCCTTGATGACATGAAGTGTCTGCCTGTCTGGCAGCAGACAAAGTAACATATGACTATATATGGCTTAATAAATCAGTTCGAGCACTTTTTTCCAGTTCCGGCCGGAATTTAAAAAATTGGTTCCAATGCAACCCTACTTCTTACAAACATGCAAGTTTGACATGACAATTCAATACTATTCTTGGAATAGGAATTGTTTTTATCTTCAAATAATAGCAATTGATGTACATTTCAATCGGATTGTTCCAGAAAATATCCACCCTGCCCCCAAGGAGGAAATTTCTACCGTCTGAAGGGGGGAGGGGAGAAAAATTTGTTATTGATAATAGTAAGTATGTTGGGACATCTGAAGGGGGTAGGAGGGGGGTTAGCTTCCAAGGTATGATTTCCAGAATGACCCATTAACAAATTATTATTTTATAGGAATTGGACTATTCAGTTATTGGAGTGGATGAACACCAACTTAGTGGAGCAAACCCTCAAATATTTCCGATTGAGTACTCAGAGCAACCACAGGCATCAGTTGGTGATGATATATTCATCTTCCAGCATCCAATGGGAATGCCAAAACAATTTAGCTATGAGAAAATTATCCATATTCAACACCCATTTGTATATTACATTGCGGATACAAGCGAAGGTTCCTCAGGTTCTCCTGTGCTGTGGAAACTACAACTAATGGCCATCCATAAAGTTGGTAGTGAGAAAGATGGGTATAACAAAGGAACATTATTTAGTGAAATTATCAATGATTTACATATTGGATGTCATTTCAATAATCCTAATGGTAAGTACAAGTATAGCCTGCATGTGTACAGATTGTATTGAAAATACAGTTTGTGGCATTAGACTCACAGCAGCACTACCCATATCATGATTTAATTAACTTAATACAGTAGTTTCTGATTGGCTTGATATAAATATTAAACCCGTTGGCATTGTTCAAAATTGAAATAATTTTTTTTAATAACATTCATTGTTCATTGTAAATTACTTCAAGCTACTAAATTTTTTATGCAAAAATGTTTTGGATGTATTATTGCACACCCATTGAGTGGAAAAATAGTAAAAGAAAATAAAGTAGGGAACATCTGTGTGCATTGCCACTTAAAGGGTGCATGGGCAGATAATCTGATTAATTAGCCCATTGAGTGGCAACACTCGGGCAGATTGCCACCTTCAATTCACATCGGGAGTACAATACAATACAAAATTTACTAATACTATTTTAAAAACATTGGAAGGAAAAATGGAAGGAAATTTAGGATTTGGGGAAGGAAATTCTGAGAAAAAAAGGACAAAAACGAGAAATTTTACTTTGCCAAAGTGGAAGCACTGTTAATTAATTGAGTGTTTCTGATTTCAAAATTCAGTGATTTCTCTCGTGTTTCTTGAGTTTTGGGTTTGACTTCTGAGTCGAGTGTACGAGATTTCAGCCGTGTCGGACCTACTGATTATAGCTCAGTGGCCGGACCCCTCGTGGAATATAAAAAAGGACAAGTTAAAGGTTTGACAGTTTGACTTTTTAACAAACAACTTTATAGGTTGGGTTGGCAAATCTTCTTATATCAGTTATATTATATAAGATGATCTTTTTTTGGGGGGGGGGGCAAAAATGTTCTTATATTTTCTTATATTATTTCATTAGTTATTCTACTTTGAAGTTGTAAATTTTAACTATTTGACATTCATCCTAAAAATAAGATATACAGATAATAGTCGTGTAAATACAGCAGTGATAACTATTTTTATAACTTTGAAAGCCAAATCTAAAATTCAAGTTGAATGTCATTTTAGAATTTTGGATGATGTCATAATATGACATCATCAAAGTTTTTGAAAATGTTCTTATATTGCAAAAAATGTTCTTATATTAATTAATTAATAATAATATAATAATGAATTTGTCACTATGTACATGTTACAAGCTAATTAAATACAAATTATAAAGACAAATTAGAAAATTTGTGACAGGGGAAAGGAACAGGACTCTTGTCCCAATTGACATCTAACCCCTATATAAAGACGTTAAATATAAATACAGATAATTAACAGGTAATAACACATTAGTTATAACAACTTACTCAGATTTGAATCGTGACTAAAAAGGTACTGAACGTTTACACACTGCGACTTACCCACTCAGTGCAGATTACAATAATTCAAAATCAATTTGGAAATCACGAGTCAATTTATATAATATATTTGTAAATATGATGAAAATGGCCGGATGATGGTTCGACAAATTGCAATCATTATGTGTAGACGCTGATGCAGAGCCTGGTGCTACGTAATGTGATAACTTAGTAGAATACAACTTATGAAGATGAGACTTGAAAATACTTAAAGAATTGGAGGATTTGATATGAGATGGTAGAGTGTTCCATAGTTCAACTGATCTAATGAAAAAAGAATTTCTAAAATAGTCCTGCTCAGGGGTCGAAATTCCCACTATTCCGAATATACTAAAATGCATGACAGAATAGTAAACTTCATGATCACAGTACCGGTATTCTGTTTGTATAGTAGAAAAAATTGTGGTACCAAATATCGACAAGCAAGGGTTTTCCTGATCTTATAAAAAATCACTTTATACCGGACTTTGAGCCACTGTTCCACTTCGTAGCTAAGTTCTTGTTCGCCTGCAGTACTTGCATATTCTAATTTCTTTGCAAGCACTATTATTGTCGATTTCAAGTCACTTTTTAACGGCATGTAGTAAAACACTGACTACCGGAACACCACCGGAACACCAGAACACCACCATTTTGTTTGGGGTTAGGGTTAGGATTAGGGTTTGGGGTTAGGATTAGGGTTAGGGTTGGGGGTTAGGGTTGGGGGTTAGGGTTGGGGTTAGGGTTCCGGTGGTGTTCCGGTGGTGTTCCGGTGTTCCGGTAGTCAGTGTTTTACTACATGCCCTTTTTAACGACAACATGTAGTTCCCAAGTTCGTTGTGAACTTGCCAATTACATTTCCAAGTTCGGAAATTGGGCGCGAACTTCGCAAAAAACTTCGCATGTTCATTTCAGTGTTTGAACTTTGTTTTTTATTAATAATTTGTTCATCACTGTACAGAGTAATGCACTGTACACTGTACAGAGTAATGCACTGTACATGTTTGTTTTTTGTTATTCGATTATTCAGTCCACTTTAGGAGTCTCAAGGATGATTTCATGAAAATCAGAAACAGTACAAAGTGGATTATAGTGGATCTTCAGATGGAATAGTAAATATAAAAATCTACTATTCCGGCTGTATAGTACAAAAAAATTTAAATTTCGACCCCAGCTGCTTGTGTTTAATTAATTATAAGGTTATAGTTGTTTTCATCATAATTTCTTGATTGGTATCCAGGTTCAAAAATACATATAATTGTTCACATCCATAGTAATTGCTCCAGTTAAAAAGTAGGCATAAGTCTGAGATATCTCTTCTGAACTCAAGAGATATATTAGAAATAAGAAAATTTTATTTTTGAAAACTCTGATGGACTCACATCCGTTGTGCACTGTTCATTTGTATAATTATAGATTTGCACCTATTAATTTGCACCAAATTACTTTCCATTGTATCATATATTACTATAAAAATGTATTTTTTCGATTGTATTCAGCGAGGTGGTGTTGCGTGCAGTGAAGTGAAACGTGGTACGGTTTGATTTGTTTTTGGAACAAGATCCAACTCCCCCCCCCCCCACACACTTTTTTAAATTCTCATTGTTTATTAGACTTTTTTTTCTGTGTTGGTGTTGTGTACTCAGGTGAATATGATGTTTGTGATGTTACTCTGAGTGTATATCCACACCGGACGAGCTTGAAAAATATGCCTGCCATGGTGGGAATCGAACCTACGACCTTTGGAATACTAGCCCAATGCTCTGCCAAACTCAAGCTCGTCCCGTGTGGATATACACTCAGAGTAACATCACAAACATCATGTTTATTAGACGTTTACTGATTGGGGTTAGAGAAGGGGTTGGGATCAGTTTACAGTATCTTATAAATGGAAGCAAATTGGCATATTTTTTAGAAGAATCATCTATGTCTATGAACTTTTTAGCACCTGAAACGAGCCATATAATGCCAATCAGAATCTACTGAGTGTCTGAGTTTAAGTCAGAATCAACTACCCAGATCACAAATTTTCACAGACTGTATTACAGCATAATACAGTCTGTATACAAGCTAGTACAAGTTACAAGTAGGGCTGCCAAGAGGTTGCATGGGACATGGGTATACAGTGTATTAGTTAGACATAGCATGGCTTTTGACCTGTAATTGGGTCAGAGTATATCCTATAGTTATTTGTCATATTTTTGCAGGTATCAGTTCAAAACGAGGTTTTAATTGTGTAGCAAGAAATAGTCCCAGAGAGATGGAGGGTGTGTATTAATAATATTATTATTAAACAAAGGCTCAATTTTGTTATTAATGCTAATTTCTTGATTGTCCTATGTATGCCTTTGTTTGCAACTGAGAATGAATTATAGTTACAAAAAAGACATTGTTATCAAACTTCATTCATGGAAAATAGTACATCCTTCGAAATTAATAGGGAATTAATTCTTCTTTGTGAAAATGATGCTTTGTGCTGTCAGTATACTGCACCGCTTTATATTATAACCGAGCATATCTATACTTCTTATTTAATCTCATTCTACTATCCACCCCGATTAGCTTTGCTATTAGCGGATAGTATTGTATATACAGACTGTTTATGTATTTATTAATAAAATTTGATTTGAATTTTGTCAGTTTAACCCATTATAGTTGCAAGGCTCTCCCCTTGATGAGTAAAATTATAAAGTTGAGTGCATATTTGCAGCTTAATGGGTTAATTAAAAGGACTAGTGCTGTCATAAACGATTGTCATTCTGACATATTTACTTGAATAAATAGGCAATCTTTTTATCTGCAACTGTTTGTCCCAGGGGCGGATTTAGCCTCATCTGCAAGGAGGGGTTCAGGTTTTTTATGGAGTGGTGCATCAAGGAGCCCAATACTACCCACACCTCTGCAGTCTGCAATGCTACTATCCCAACATTACCATATTTAACCATGATATTTAACAAAAGCATTCTGACTATCTTCTCATGAGTGGACAAATCAATTACCCCTTTAAGTGGCAATGTGCCCTACTTTTGCATTTTGCTCTGTTTAAGTTTAACGCCAGACGATTTTACTCATCAGGGGAGAGTGCTGCCACTCAGTGAGTTAACTGGTTTCAAGAAATTGCTAAGGTGGGGTGTGCACCCCCTGTACCTCCAAGGACAGGTACTGTAGATCTGCCCCTGGTTTGTCCTTGGTTACAAATTACAGTATAGTACAATAAAACATTTTGTTTATTCTGTAGAAAACTCTAGCAAGAGGGTTTGTGTGGAAAACTGCAATGATGAAAAAAGTTCTGAACTCTCCAAAGGAGCAAACCTACTGGACGAGACACAATTTCCAAAGGATGAAATGCTTGACAAATTATCCCAAGAGTGTTGCAGCTTTTACAAAAAACTGGCAAGACAACTGCAAGTTAAACATGAAAAAATTGAGGAAATTAGCAGAGACCACATAAACTATGGCAGCTTAGCTGAAAAATCTTATCAAGTGTTACGTGAATGGAAGGAGTCCAATGCAAAACCATTTACAAATCAAGTCTTGGAGAATGCTCTCAGAAACTTGGGTAAAAACGCAATAGCCAACAAATATTTTGGAGAGAAGTAATATACCAGCTCCTTTAGCAAGAATTCACTCTAATGTGCCCTAATTTGTTATTTTACCCTGTTTTGAACCGGACAATTTTGCTTGTCAGGGGAAAATGTTGAGTCAGTACATTATAACTTGGGGATACAGTAAATGGACCTTTGTGGATAAAAAATATCAAGATTTTGTTGGCAACTAGCTCGATTGAGATTGCAGGGCTGCAGGTTCAATTCCTGCCAGGGACCTATATATTGCATTTTCATAGATGTTCCTGGTCAACCTGGTTAGGTCTAATAAATATACATAAATTTCCACTCAGTAATTTCCATCTACAAAACCCTTCAACTATTCTGCTTTGTACCTTGTTGCCCTGCCTAATGTATCAACAAACATAATATGCATTTTATGATTTTTAGAGACTTCATATTTTAAGTTATTTGATTTTAGAGACTTCATATTTTACTTATTTAAATATTGCATTTATCAACCTATATATATACCATTATACTGTATACAGCGTTACTGGTAAATTACTACATTTCAATTTTATAACCAACTCAACTTTAGAATATGCAGTGGTTATTCGTCCAACACCGGATCCCAATGTTTAGATGCTATTTGTCTGACAAAAGTGTTTTCCTCGTTCGTTAAACATGCTAAAATGACACCGAATAAATTTCAGTTGTTTTCAAGCAATTCCTTGGGGTGGATAAGGCACTTGCCTTGCATGCACTATCACCTGGATCGAACATGGGAGTGGAAGTTCAAGTGTATGACTGTATGTGTAAGAGTTCTTCCAGAATGGTTAGGATGTGGGACAGGTTGAGGAAAAATTTGTTGTCCATAAAAACATGGATGTTGTACACGGCTAAAAACGCACAGGTTGTTCCAAGTTGATATCGACAGGTGTGAACAATGTTGTGTGGCCAACTATGAACAAGTTGTCAACCATGTTGTTCCAAGTTGTTAGTGGGCCGCACAACCTTTTTCACGCCTGTTGATATCAACCTGGAACAAGTTATTTATTTTATTTATTAAACTTTGCCAAAAACACTTAACAGAACAGCAAATAGACATCTAGACAATAAACATGGACAAAAATGGCAGGGACACCACAACAGTGTAAACCAATTACTAGTTGTTGATTTTCTCAATTTTTACCTGTGTATGTAGGCTGTGTACACATGCATAACACTATGTCAGATCTATAGCCATTGAACTTAAGTTCCGGTGTTGTATGAATAACCATAGCGTTTAAAAATATTGTTTTACAATATTGTATGTCATTTGTAGAATTAATTCTAATTCATGTGTCTCTTTAAATGGCGATAATTGATAAAACTACAGAGACTACATTTCAGTTTTGAAACCAGCCAGCTTTTAAAATATTGCTCTATCTATGTTTATATATTTATACTGTTTGCTGAATTCATTTTAAAATATCATTCATTCCAGTTCATGTCTATGTTGTCATTTTACAACGGTAATTTAAAATACCACCACGTGGCCACTGGCCACCACCAATATCTGATTTCAAAACTCTGTGAGAATATCGCGTGTTCTTCATTGTGTTCGAATCGCACGAGGTTGCTTTCTTGTTAACTCATTCTCCAATATGGTTCCCCAAACCTCGGCAGGCAACTCTTGAATATGATTTCCCGGTAAGGCTTCGTCCGCCGATTTGGGAAAGCTGAACTCCCCAGCCGACCATCTTCGCATAAGCTTATAAATTTGATACAATTTTTGCAGTTCGATTTTCCAGTGGCTATCAGAATTCCTTCTTTTATAAGGCATAGACGGTACGAGACATTTGTAAATTCTATAATGAGCTCTCCAAAGCGACGTACTTCCTTCAATAAATCCACGCCATTTCCAACAAGTTTGTAGTGATCGGCATAAGCTCTTCACATCCAAATAGCTAAAAATTTTCAAGCAAATTTCGTCGGGTATAATGCCGACAATATCTAATTTATTGTCATCATTTTCGCCTTCATTTTTACCAGTAGTTATAGTATTCGTTGATAAATCTGTTTCCCAATCTGTTGCAATAAAAAATAGTTGATTTATAGAAGTCTTTTGTGCCATTTGTAGCTGTAGTATTTTGTAGTAAAATGATTTAATTAAACAGTTTACGTTCCGCAACAGTTAAATGCCACAAAGTGCGACATTCGTTATGGCAACGGCGTTCTGATTGGCTCGCTTAAACAATCAATGAAAAATGAGCCCCATTCTTGCTACGACACAGCGTACCCTAGCTATATATCCGAATTTTATATTCTGTGGTTTATGTCCATTTTTTCGGATTTCAAAGTTATTTTTGATTAGGATTAAAGTTAGGATTATTAATTTAGGGTTTGGATCACTGAGTTTTATAACTGGAGGTATAGTTCAATGCATCCAGTAAGGTCCTCCGTAATATTATTATTAGTAGTAGCTCCGTGATCTCAGTGGGCCAGCGAATTTCTCAACCTTCGAGAATACAAGGCGAACACTTCATGTAGTCACGATATTTTAGTTCAACCAATATGGAAGCTTCAATTTAGCAAAAAAGTCGTGAATTATTTTACTTCTACTCGCTTTTGTGGAAAAGAAATTGCACTATGGTGCACGTAGAAGCTATTCGTCAATATTTTACCAGTTTATATTATATTTTAAATGTCCTGGCATTTGTGTCCTATGTTGTTTTAAAAATAAAACTGTAGATCCAATATGCGAGTGGTTTTTCAGAGAAGGCGAGCAATGTGAACGGCTAAGTTTATTTGGTACGTTTTGTTTTAATGTGGTGTTTTTATAATGATTTTAAAGAGTTTACATTGTAGTTCATTGCTTTTGTTGTAGGCTATTTTAGAATTTTTATACAGTAGATCTAGAGTGGTACTCAATTATTATAAAAGTATGTACCAGTCAATTCCAGCAGTGCCCTTTAATGCTTTAATACCCCCCCCCCCGGGCCTTCGCTGCTTTTCATAAACCCGGGGGTGGGGCAATTGCCAAATTTTTTTAGCCTGGTGGTGGGGACTTTGACATTTTCCATCATGGTTTATTGGTGGACTATAACATATGGCAGATTTCGCTGGGAATTTTACAATATTGATGTCAATAACTGCACATATTTTTCTCTTTACTACAGAATTGTTTTCCCTGTCCAATAACACTTGTAGTTTTGTTTTATCATAGGCAGCCTGATAGCCGATTTTATCCTGAGGCGCACTGCCGAGGTGAATAAACACATATCCCCGAGGTGCCTCAAAATAACATACTTATTTTTCATATTCTGAGGTCGTGTCAGAATAGAAATAATTCTTAATGCCATATTGCCTTTGTTATGTTGTTTTTTTTTCATTTTTTGTGCTGCAAAGACATTACAGGTGAATATTAGAGGGATTATTAAACAGAAATTGATTAGAGGGGAATATTGAATTGGTCATTCCAGAAAACATCCATATCACCCCCACGGAGGAAATAGGAAGTTAACCCCCCTACCCCCTTTGGATGTCCTAATACATTTACTATTATCAGAAACAATTTTTTCTCCCCTCCCCCTCCAGACGGCAGAAATTTCCTCCATGTGGGGAGTCTGGATCTTTTCCAGAACGTCCCAATATATTCCCCGATAGGAACAAAGGAAACCGAGCAAGGTGAAAAATAAGAATGGTTGTTTATTAGGCGTAAAAAAAAACCTGTGGTTCCGGTTCCACCCCGACCCTATTTTTTTTCAACGCGATTGACCATGCGACCCTATTTTCTCAGGGTGGTTGCGGGCCGCTGCCAAAATGGCATCTGTTGTCACACTAATTATTGAAAAAACCATGAAAAAAAATATTAAAAAAAAAATAATTCCGCCCTACCGACCCAAATTTTTTTGCGATATAAAACCGGAACCACAGGTATTTTTTTTACGCCTTACATATTCACCTGTTAGTGCTCCTGTAAGTGAAACAAACTATCTTTATTTATTAGTTATATTGTGTTGGTGTAACTGTAAAACAGTTCTCCCACCCATCTTGTTTTAGGCCGGTGAACAGCGAATTTTGCCAGCACTAAGAAGACATTTGACAGCCATTTGCCAGAGGCTGTGTGTAATTTGCCGGTACTTGCAGTCATGACAAGCTGAAATTTTTAGCCATACCCAAATTATTATTAGCCAGGACTTCAAACGGACATTTGAAGGGCTGAGTTCTCCTTAGAAGGGGGTAATTCCATGGTGACTCATGTTACATTCTGAACCAAACTATCCAAGTCATTTTGATCTGGTGTAATAACAAATATATTTTTTCTGTCACATTTTTGCATGCAGGTACAAATGATGGTAACCTACTGATTCACAGTAAAAATTAAACACTTGATTATAACATGACAAGATTGGTGGCTGTAAATTGGTGTGTGACTCGTGTTACGACAAAGTGACATGAGGTGATGAGGTAACACCAACCTAACTACTTTTGAATTTCTTTGGCAACCATAGGAAGGAGAAACATACAATGTCTATCAAGTAACAGACTATATGTTAGGCAAACTACCAACACAAAGAAATTTTATATTTTGGATTACAATAGTAAGGATTGCTACATAATGCATGTGACTCATGCTATGTGACTCATGTTACACAATAACCATAAAGTACATCTTAATATTTCAGTTCAGAATTGTTTCCAGACAAATTCTTGACAAATTTTTTTTTTCAAAAATGTCATCACTACCATGGAATTACCCAGGGGCTGTTCACATGAGCCCAGTGTTTATTTATATGTTCACAGTGATGAATGTAAGTTTCGTTTTAGGTTTGAGAGAAAATGTTGTACAGTATGCTGCTACAAGAGAAATTCTCGAGAGTACCTCCGACGGAGGACATATTAAAAGATGAACTCTTTGCAACACATCAGGTAAACATGTAAAAATTGTACCTTTAATTATATCAGTAATTTAATAATATATACCTTTTCGAGAGACCTATGGTTAATATGCAACTATTTCCTTTACATATGATGTTAAATTACTCCAGGCAGATGCAAGCTATCAAGGATACTTGAAACATCTGGAACATGATCGAGGCTCCACCATGAACTGATGCTAAACATGAATTACAGCTGGTTAAAAAATCTGAGGTATATACCTTGAAAAATTGTACATGTTTCACTTTTGTGACCGAAATTCTCATGTTTCTCATCACAGTGACCAGAGAAGGCCTTCGGTTTGACTTTAATACCAGTGAAAGGGTTTTCCTCCTATAGTAATTGTGGATTGAACTGATAAGAAATGGTGCATCACTGGCCACTGGACCTCTAAGGAGAGAGCTATCCAGTGTAAATAAAATTAGTTTAGTCTAGGTTTCCTCCTGTAGTAACACTGGATCAATAAGAGATGATCCTTACTGGATCTCTAAGGAGAACAGTTTAGAACTGATAGGACTATATCCAGTATAAATAAAGTTAGTTTAGTTTGGATTTCCTCCTGTAGTATAACACAGGATCGACAAGAGACGACCCTTACTGGACCTCTACTCTCTAGGGAGGACATTTTACAATTGATAGAGCTATCCAGTGTAAATAAAAATGGTTTAGTTTAGGTTTCCTCTTGTAGTAACACTTGATCAATAAGAGATTATCCTCACTGGATCTCTAGGAAGAACAGTTTAGAACTGATAGAACTACCCTGCAGTATAAATGAAGTTAGTTTAGTTTGGGTTTCCTCCTGTAGTAACACTGGTCAATAAGAGATGATCTTTACTGGACCTCTAGCAAGAACAGTTTAGAACTGATAGAACTATCCAGTGTAAATTAGTTTAGTTTGGGTTTTCTCCTGTTGCAACAGTGGATCAATAATCCTTGCTGGACCCTCTAGGGCGAACAGTTTAGAACTGATAGAGCTGTCCCGTTAGTCCAGTTTTAGACAGTATGCTGCGCTGTAATTTCATCCTATATTATTTCATCCGCTGTAATTTCATCCTTTTATTCCTATATTTTTCCCATTTCTCTCAGTTTTCATCTATAGTATGCAAGGTTATAAATGCTCTGTCAAAAAGCGCATGTTATATTCGACATGTAAGGCACCATTATTGGCAGGCCTTGAGGAAGATTTAAAGATAGAAATTCCAAAAAAGGTAACTAAAGCCAGAGTTTGTAAGTTGATAACATTTTAATTTTCAACTGTATGTTTCGAGCAATCCATCTCATAATCGTTTCTTATTTCGTAGATTGAAATTGAGAATACAGAAGAAATAACAGAAAATCAACTTCACCCAAAGAAGATACTGCATCAACCCAGATTTGCGAAGCCGAAGAGAGCGCAGGCTAGGGGTGCAAGAAGACTTCTTTAGAATAAAGATGGAAATAGCGAAAACTGAATAAAGCAAGCCAGAATCTCACATTTTAAATAAATGATTATACTCAAAAAAGTGTTTTAAAAAAAAAAGGCTAGAGAATAAAATCGATTGAATGTAGGTGTGTTTCACAAAGTATAGAACTTGGCAGTCAAGTGTATATGGAATGATACAGTTATCGGAATGGGCCAAATCTCGCATTTCAGCATTTGTCTAGGCCTTCGTTTGTCCATGGCAAATACATGCACATTATAATCAATATTACTATATTATATAGGCATACATGTATGGATGAGGGGGGTACCCGACATTGATGGACATTGCCCAACAAATACAACTTTTTTGCATCATTAATTGCCCAAAATTTCTTGACGAAGTAGAATTGCTCGATTTTTAAGTAGAATCTGCCCAACTAAAAAATTATACGGGGCTGTCTGTGTACGTTTTAATGAAAAACATATAATTAATATTAGCTTTATGATTGTAATGAAATCATTTATTTAAAATGTGAATTCAAAATGAAAACTTTTGTTACCGAATGTGTATTAATAATCAGTATTACTATATCTTTGCTATTATTTATCGAAATTACGTAAAATATTTTCGATTGTGTGAATTGCATGATAGCAAAAACATTAAATAATGATTCTTGCTTTATTTCATAACTATATAGGACGTTTCAAACATTTCTCAATTGACATATAATAAACAATTGTACATCGACGCATTTAGACTATTCAGACTTTGTATGGACATTGATATTTTTATAAATAATTGTATTGATTCAAATTTTATTAAAATGTACAACAATATTACTTTTATTAAACTGAGTGCATTCTGTGAGAAAATCTGAGGAAATCAGCCATATTGTTCTGAAACGTCTTCTCGGGATTTGCTGTAATGTTATTTGGTCCAATAGGAGAATGAATTGACCAATACTCAATAGGGGGCAATCGGGGAATTGTTATTAATATGTAATATTAATCATGTGTACGAGAATCGGGGAATTAGCCTTTCTTACGCCATTTTTGGAGGTGCTGTTCAGCCTGTTTGCCCCTAGTCTGCAGACTCGTCCCCAGTCGTTATTTGAATTTCAATTTTATGGGGACGAATAGGTATATATATATATATATATATATATATATATATATATATATATATATATATATATATATATATATATATATATATATATATAGATCAGTACCAAAGGTGGACGCTTTCGCCCTTCCCGTGAGCCTCTACGCGCCCACTTCTGGCCGCGCGCCCGCTCTTAAAGCGACTGGGGACGAGTCTGCCCTCGTGAAATATTCTAGACAATTCAAACAACGTGAAAAGCGACTTTTAAAAGTTGTAACTTTAAAGTTACCATTATACAAGCAACCATAATACTATAAAAAGTTGTATTTTGTAGTGCGGAGACTTTAAGATTGACGTTTACGGGAAATCTGAAAGTAAGGTCTACAGTTTCGTCAGCTAACTTTGAACAGTTAACTGTTGACTTTTTACGATTTGAAGTTTGTCGTTTGTGGTTAGCAGTTTGCCGTGAACGTCAATCTTAACAGGGGCGCCGGAAGCAATGTAAAGCGGCGGGGGCAGCCATTTCAAAAGGCGGGCACTTGCTTCTCAGCCATCATTTTTCTGGGCGGCAATATTTGTTGAAACTTTATTGTATGGATACCCGATTACTTGTGGCTATTGTGGGTGGGCAAACTTCGACATTAATTTTGAACAATTTTATTTGTTGCACCATGTTAAGGGCGCAAAATAAAGTCAGTAAACGGACGTATATTGCGTGATTTAACATTAATCAGGGGCCGCGGAACCCAACCTCGTACCCAGGGCCAGTCGTGAGTTGAAGGCAGCGACGCCGCCGCAAATTTTTTTTCCGCAGACAGTCGGACTCCTCATTGATAGTCGGACGCATCATTGACCCGCGCCCTTAAACAAAACATTCAGCGGATACTCCTCTTCGGATGCGCCTTCCCAGTGTGTCTTGCGCATGCAATTGGTGATTTCAAAATATTGTATTGCTTGGTTGAGATGTCAAAATCTGAGCAGGACACATTGTGGCTTCGTATCTTGTGTGGTGATGACATCCGACATATTTTATTAAGTTATATTCGCCATTCCCACTTGCTTTTCTCTGCTTTTGTAACTCTAGATCTTTGTAAGTTTCATTGTTTTCGATTCCATAATTCTGAAAAAACATTGCAATATTTTCCGGAGCGATTGCAGAATACCCGTCCATTTTTTAAGCTATGCCTTTAAAAACATCATGGATACGATGTATTAATACATCTATATTTATTCTCAATAGATTAATAATAAATAGATTGATAGATTAAAATCCCATGGCCATGATGATGATAGACTGGTGGTAAAGGTAGCTGCGAGGCATACAGTGACTTCAGTTAGCATTAATAGATTAAATTGTCATAGTGTTAAAGGGTAGCTCTATATTCTAGTGGATACGCAGTCAAGTAGTTATTTTGAGATTAAGGCGACAGTTAGTTAGCATTAATAGATTAAATTCTCATGCTATAGATAGCTTAAATGTGGTGTAATATGTAAATATGTTCCTCACAACCGGACATTGGTGTTTGACAGATTATGATTAATTAGCGTCGCTGGGAGAAAAAAATTATATTATAAAGCATACTAAACATAATATTAAACATTAAAAGTCTTGCATGATATTTCTTTATTGTATCAATTCGTAATATTGTCTTAGTAATTAGTTTGTGTATATTAGAACGAGAAAATAAGATCTGGTATATACGTATTCACTATTCAGTGAAATAGTGGCCGGGCTACATGATATGATATATTATACTAGTGGACGGGTATTCTGGAATACTTCTATTTGTGGAAAGTGATCTTGATGGTCGCTTTGAATCTTCCAGTATTTCCTTGCACGCTAGTTATCGTAGTTTTCATGCAATTGGGATGATATATAGTTTTAACTCGCAATAACAGTTCTTGAGTATTTTCGGAACCAGAAAAACAAGTTTGTAGATTTACTATGGCATCGCGAAGCAAATCGTTCATCTTTTTACACGTGGTCGAAGAAGAACAACGTGGAGTGATGGATATATGGTGCACCAGTGGGTTACGCAGGGTACGAAGGGATCCATCGATAACGCGCGGAGGCCTGAACGCGGATGAATGATGCGTCCGACTATCAATGAGGAGTCCGACTGTCTACGGAAAAAAAATTTACGGCGCCGCCAGCTCGATAATTGGGGGAGGGGGCGAATATTCATATCTTCGTGTTCTGCATTATTAACTTCTTTTGAAGTCCATTGTTTTTATTGTATGTGAACACAAATAAATTAATATTCGCCGCCCCCCCCCCCCACCTCCAATTATCGCGCTGGCGGCGCCACTGAATGAGTGCAATAACCAACAAAGGAACAGCGCGCGTGGAGCCTGGGGATGGGTTTCCTGTGCATCATCCGCCAAACGGCATAGCGTGAATTTATCGAGGGCGTATATAATCATCACTCATCGACGGATGTTTATGACGTGAAATAACAACATCGAACATGTAAAAATATCTTTGACTTCCTTCATCTCAGAAATGCGGAAATCTATAAATTTAAGTCTGGAGTATATATCCTGCAAATTTTGATTTCGTCGGAAACCAAATATATTTCTATGGGAGGTTAATTCGATCAACTTCCTCATTTCCAACTTCCTTGTATTTTTATCCTTATATTTTTAAACTGGAGGTCCATACGATAAAGGAATTTGTTTAAACGAGGTCGAAAACGAACAGCACTAGCAAACCTTGTATATATGACATCGCATTAAATGATCTCAGAGAGGGAATTTATCTACATGCATGCTTAAACCATATAAATCACTCGGTTTCGGTCTTTTAATAATAATAACTTGTTTATGTCTGTCATTGCAATAAAAGACAAATCCGGCCGTGCATGGGACATTGGTAGCCAACTAGCATATATTACATCAATGTCTTAACAAATTTTGATTGCGTCTATTAAACCAGTACAATACTAATTTTTGTGTACCAGTATTGCTCTAGCTGTTCTCTATTCTTTGTACTAGTATTGGTACTCTGTTTGAATGAAGTTTTTTTATATTTGGACAGGAAGGAATATCCCGGCATGTATGCCCTTGGAATCGTTGCCAAATAAATCTTTGCGGTGCTTTCATGCAGAAAAACAAATAAATTCCTCCTTTTTCGTCCTTCCTTTTCATTGACATTGTCTTTCAAAGATGCAACGCTTTTAAATATTTTTTCCAGTTAATAGTTAGGTTCCGGTTTAATCGAAAGATATATTTTAGAGGTTAAAAACTTCACATTCCCAAGGCCAAATTTTTAGAAATAGTCCGAAAAATCAGTTCACAATTGACGCCAGACAAGCTGAATACATGGAAAATAAGGATTATTTCTCGCTGTCCCAAAGCCCACGAGTGCTTCTATAACACGGAACAGTAAAAAGCTTTTATTTCTTAAATACAACATTTTTTACACGTGTATAAAACAATTGTAATTATGACTTATGTACTATTTAATACATGAGCAGCAGTGTTTTATTAGATATAAAGATACGAGGCCGGCGAAGCCAAGTATCTTTATGTCTCATAAAACACGCACTGCGAATGTTTTAAATTGCTTCAAAAACGATCGATCTGGTAAGTTCATTGGCGAAGTAATTTTCAAAAAATACGTTGTATATGTAAGTCGAGAAAATCAAAGTTAAAGTTGATGTAAATCAAGGGAAATCTCTATCACACATAAAGATACGACATGCTTATGATTTCTCTTTGTGTTTTCCTCATGAATTATTAATGAGTTTTTGAAAGGTATATAACATCGTAACTACTAGCTTTCCGACAAAGGGTCGTCAAGTCCTCCTTGTATAATAACATCCGATTACTATAACTTCCCGACAAAAGGTCTCCGCTCGAAACTTGGAAATTCTCCTCAGTATACTTTTCAGATCATCCTTACCAACCGAAGTTTTGTTATATCACATTTTGATTTTATACTTGTAAGCTTTCGTAAACCCAGTTATTCACATTGACAATCAGTGTTTTCAATGCGAGATTGGTTAATAATAATCATGCAGTAATAAAAATAGTAAAAAAAACCGAAACCGTATACTAATTAGTTTCATATATATCGACATGTGGTTTTGAGTGGGAATTTTTAAATCTGATCACAAATTAGATTAAAACATTGGTTTGAACTTATAAATAAAGATGAAATATCCAGTTACACTGGCTCTTATAAAGAGTGTCGACATATCGATTCTTCCTGTCTGGTATAAACATGCGAAGGCAATAAAACCACAGGAAATTTTGCTGTTCGAAAGAGTTAAAGTTACACGTAACACTGCGTAGTTGTACATAACTATTGATACTGTATACGAAGGCAAGAGTTGGTTAAAGATTTTCAAGGACATAAAAGACTTCGATTTCTATATCAAAGAAACACAAAAGGTAACCTACAATCTTAGACATATAAATAACCCTTGAGACCATTCCAGCCAATATTGCAAAGTTAATGCACATTAACAAATTTCGTCACCCCCTCTACCCTAGTTCAATGTTGTAAACAGCGCCGAAACAACTTTTGGTAATTGACAATGACACAAGCTCAACATTGAGTGGGGGAGCGGGGGTTTAAGAAGCGCAACATGATTCAACATGGAATTTATCATAAGGGGTATGTGAATTTTCTATGGAGGGAAAGGTATAGTCTCAACCAGTTATGTCCAATAGTAAGACTGTATGTAACACATATATCATTGCAGAGTATGGCACTTTTCAATAAGATCTAGACTTGAGTGGGTCAAATACAGTACAAAATCTAAATGCTGCCGCATTGTCATGCTAATGTTGTCTGATTTCATCCGTCTGTTCATTTTGGATGACAACCTCATTATTTCCCGGCTGTTGCCATTTGCTTTTCACATTTTTGCGCCGAATTAAAATTCTCCGTCAACTTTTTGTTGAATCTCATTTTTCGTCACGGATTTCCCGAAAGAGAAGTAAACTTACGTCAGATCAGACTCATGTTAGGCATACATTACAGAGTCGTAACAGTTGATTTGATTGTGTCAAGACTCAAATGGGTAATCTTTTATAATATGATTACGATTCCTACCTGGTTCATCCCTCAAAAATAAGTAATTCTTTTCTTCTTCTTTTCTAAAAAATCAAGAACAAAACATGAGAATCTATTTTGTCTTATGTTTCACCTTGGCACTGGTTTCCCTTACCCAAGCTAAAGGATATGGAAAGAAGGGATCTACTGACCTGAAAAGAGTCCCACCCCCCAGGACGATGAAATATTGTCAAGTGAGCTCGAAGATCACAACGTTCTTGAACCAATTTCGTTCCATTGGAGTACCAAAAGGCCGTGATGGTTTTCGTTCCATTGGAATACCAAAAGGCCGTGATGGTTTGAGGGGTATACAGAAACGATCCGCGGTAAGTAATAAAGTTAATGCATATTGGCGACGTCACTAGCTGGGTCAACTTTTTGACAGTGAACGGGACCCTTAAAACTTCATGTTTTGCTATGCAAGATTAGTCAACTGAATAATCGATACAGATCTGAATAGAGCGTTTGCACATGACGCCATAACCGCCATGTTGGTGTTCCAGTTCAAAAGAATTTTAGACTCTTTTGTCTGGAACACCAACGTGGCCGCCATGGCTTTTGTTGATTTGGTCCCTGGGGATGAGTCTACAATTTGATCTATTTTGACGACAACTCGCAATACAAATCGTTACAGAATCAATCAAATTTCGTGTAACTTCGTTTGCATTGCAAGTTGTCGAAACAGGTTGTCCCGTGTAAAACATGTAGAACCAGTGGCATAGCCAGGGTTTACAAAGTGGGGGCAAGTTGAGCGCTAAAGGCGAGAACAATGTAGGAGGGTCCGGGGGCATTCTCCACCTGGAAAATTTTGAAATTCAGAGCCTCTGAAACGCTATTTCGTGCATTTTGGGGTGAGATTTTACAAAATTCAGAAGATTATAACATTATAATTCGGTCAAGAATGCCTGCGTCTTCAGTTATTAGATTGCGAGTAATAATTTAAACATATTTCGAAGGTGGTTCTGAAGGAGAGTGGGGGGGGGGACTCGTCCCCCCCCCCCCATGTGGCTACGCCACTGTGTAGAACGGCAACGCGACGACGACGGTAAACAAACTCGTTGAACCAAACGACCGTAAAGAGAACCTGTCGGCTGTCGTCTATTATCCATCGTATGAAATTAACACAGTCCTAAGTGATTGAGGTTAAGGCAGAGGTTTAAAAGGCGAAAAGTGGAGTACCCGCAAAAATTCAAATATAACAGACTTGGCCTCGTAGCTCAGTTGGCAGAGCGTTGGACTAGTATCCCTGGGTTCGATTCCCACCGTGGTCGGGCTAACCTTTCAGCCTGCTCGGTGTGGATATACACTCGGAGTAACATAAAAAAACATCATAACAGTGAGATGGTTCAAAATCAGATTGTACAGTACCATATATAGGCTAGCAATTTCATCTCACCTCTTACATTTTATTTTCCTATACAGGGCAATAAGTGGGTCTATAACTGCCTACATGCAGGTCTTAACTACCAACACCGTATCTTCGAGCTACCTACATTCCATTGTTGTAAAAAATGCGAATTTCCTGGCTTCTCTTATTGTACGCGGAGATACACCGCAGTCATAGCACAGTCCAGGTGTAATAGCGAGGCCTTACGATGCATTGCCCGCTGTATAAAGCAGAGTACAAACAAGAAGATTGGTGGAACAGTTGTAGATCCCAGGGCCAGGATGCTCGGACGCCCTAGATCTCAGAAATGTCCAATGAAGCGCAAAAAAGTTGGAGGTTCGTACTGTCTTGAACGATCCTGTATCCGTGTGTGAACTGAACCTAAAGTCGTATTTTGACAAAATGTTGGCCACTACGAAGTTCGTCCAAAGATTTGGTTAAAAAAAATGCTGTTAAGAATGTAAAAGACTATTTATAGAAGTGAAGACTAGATATATATGTATATAATATTTACCACCATAAGTTATGTATGTTAGTTTAAATTCGATCTTTAAAATTGAGCACTTTACATTGCAGCACATTCTCTATAAGTACGCTGAACGTTTCGCATGCACCGCATTGAACTGAGGTAAAATCAGAAAATTAGATATTGTATTAAAGGCCAACGCGCTTCAAATACAAGAGCTGCCAATGATATTATTTTCCTAGTGTTCCTCCGATATGGGTGTTTAACCTATTGGCCGCGGTGTTCCATCTTAAGGTTACTCCACATGATGGAAACCCATTTCACCAAAATGCTCACCGCGCGCTCAATTGATTGGTAATCGGGGCAAACTAAGAACTTTTAAGAAAATTAAAACAAGTCTTGACCCAGAAAAATATATTTTTGAAGTTAACAATATAAACATCGCCAAGCAGTTACGAAACTCCGAATCTCAGCCCACAGATTATACCAGTTGAAGTTGGTCGCTACAACAATATCCCATATGAGGAGAGAATTTGTAGCCACTGGCACTGTGATTTGAATGAGGTTGGTAATGAACAACACTATTTAATGCAATGTGCCAGTACAAAATTCACAGTGATTAGAACGAACTTCATTACCAATCTTTTTCAAATTAACTATTGTTTTAGATTTTTTAATAACCATGATCTTTTCATATATATATTATGTCAATGAAAGACAAATCCATAAATTCACTACTTGCTAAATTCTGTTATGATATTTTAAAAACATTTGACCAATTGTAAGTTTGTATCTTAAGCTCATTTTCCATATACTGTAATCAGTTTATTTGTTTGTAATTCGACATATCAGTAAGGCCATATAAAAAAAATAGTTGGTTAGCGTCCTTAGCTTTTGCCAAAAAGTGGGCGGGCGGCCGCTTTTTTTTTAATTTTTACTAATTTTTAACGCCTTGGTTTTACTCATTTTCTTGCGCAGTACAGATTATATTTCAAAATATAATTCATACCGTCATTTTCGCACGCAAATTTCGCAAATTATTAACACAATTGACTACAGTCAACAGAAATACTACATATATTAGAGCCCGTTGATCAATAAAAGTCGGGTTTTTTTAAAATAAAAAATAAAAAAAAATCCTGAGCGGGGCCTTTTTTGTGGGCGGGCGGGGACGCTAACCAACTATTTTTTTTTATGTGGCCTAATGGTATTTTTTGTATGAATAAAGTTATTATTATTATTGATCCGAGTGCAAAGCTTTCTAAGGGCGCATATAGCAGCCACCTTTTGACTCGCCTTCACGGAGCACAACTACGATGGAAGGGTTCTTTTTAGGGAACTGAATCCAACCAACCCTGTCAACATTCCCTGTCGGAGAAACTGGAGTATCCGGAGGAAACCCGCGACTTTCAGCGGGATCATGTAAACAGCCCTCACATTGACGTCATTTGACGCTTCGTTTCACATCACTTATCATCATCCTACTTGATGTGCAACGAAAACATCCGGCAGAACGTAAAAATTTTGAATATTTAAAATTTGAAAGGCCGTTGAAAACAAACACTTTATAAATTGAACAGAAGAGGAGTGACCTTCCTGACCAGGGGCACGATTCGCACGAAACTCTCGTACAAACTTAAATATCGAAAGATATAGAAAAAGGAAAACCAAAATCAACAAAGATAACTGTCTTGCCGTTTGCCTTGTCGACCAGACGTTAGGTAAGTTACCAATAGAGGGAAATACGAAATTTTGATTGACATTGAACGGTATATGCGAGTAATGCGACCTCCTAGGAGTTGGCGTTGTATAGATATAGAACACGGCTCGTTCTTTAAAGATCCCTTTACTTTTTGTCCTCATAGGATTGCCTAATTTATGAATTTGGCTTCTACTTGTTAAATAAAGAAGTCCACGATTTATTTGAGAATAGGGGCACCCGGCTGTCCACTGTTGACTAGCCCTGGGTTAAAATTTATTAACCCGCTGTTTTAGTTTTTTTTTTTTTTTTTAAAGAACTTTATTGGGTCATTAACAACTATATTTACAATAATTATACAAACAAGTAATTGGGCAAAGATACACTAATTTAAAATAACAACAATAAAAGAACCCAATTGGGAAAAGTGCGAACGGGACTCCAAGTCCCATGCGGGTCACTTCCCCTAAGAAAAGTTTATGTCCTAGTTTGTGTCAGTTCTGCATCACTTCAGAAAAGAAAAACTCCTATTGATCCAGACAAAATTTCTGAAGAAATTAACCGGCTCCAGGGCAGTTCGTGATCAATTTAGCATCAATTTCATTGGGGATCGTAATGGCTTCATTTCGGTCTGATTCTAGTATTGTCGACTAATGATCCTGCATTGTTGAAATACGTAATTATCTTTGAAATCATTCTTTTTCAAATAAAGGATGCAGGGTCGCATGAACAGTATATTACCATAATTATTGCACAGTAAACAATTATACAGCGTGGTTAACGTTAGATGGATAAAAGTTGCCAATAAGAAAATATTATCATTTAGTGAATCACTAGAGTTGTCGAAAGATAAATCGTATTAAGGTACGATTACACGCTGCGATTTGTCGGGTCGATTTTGCTCGCTGTATGTAAATAACCTGTCGTCAGTACTCGCGTGGTTCTCACGATTCAACGATTTTTCTTCCGTTGTAAAGTTGTTGAAAACTTTTCGCACGCAGAAAACTATAATATGAACAGACGAGAAAGCGGACAGCTTCAATTGAACGTTTAAATCGCTAAATGTCGAAGAAGGGGCATCGATTATTTACCAAAATCGGCCCGACAAATCGCAGCGTGTAAACGTAGCTTTAGGCTGCATTCCGACGGCTTTAGGTTTCTATTTAGACACCAATTCAAACACAAAGTCCCACTGTTCGAACGAAATTCACAAAATTTCGTGCATAATTTTGCATATTTGTGCATGACGGATGATTATTGCATGGAATAAAGGAACATGTGCAGCAGTTTCTGCATCTTTAGTTCTTTACCACGATTTATCGCATGAATGAACCCAATCGGGGATCGGCTCCCATGGCATGCCCTAGCTGTTCCAGATATTTACCCCGAGGCTCCGAGCCAATTATTAGAGACCATATCGAAAATGATGAAATCTAAGAGATGAATTTGACGCTTTAGTAGATTATTAAAATTGATTTAGTGGAACCAATGTTCAAGTGATGGCGGTTTAGAAAAAGTCTGGTTCACCCAATTGAAATCATGCTTTCGCGATGGTCCCCGACTTTAAACAGTCATAACCGATTGGTTTTGTACCACACCAATTTTAGTAATCTTTAATAGTGTCAAAATTCATCTTTTACATTGAATTTTCTGTCCATAAAATGGACCTATTTTCTCATGAACAAAAATTTGATCTAGACAAGTCTAGACAACACAGCTTGAAAGAGGATCGCAAAATTGGCAATATTCCGTTGCGAAATGTTGTAAATTGCGGATAATATAGCCCTGCGAAGTTTGCCGTTTTTCGGTAATTTTGCATTACGCACGGGAAGTTGATACCGTGCGTATGTAATACAAAATGACTGAAAACGGCAAACTTCGCAGGGCTATATTATCCGCATTTTACAACATTTCGCAACAAAACTTCGGAATATTACTAATTTTGTGACGCTCTTTCAAGCTGTGATGAAATTCTTGTCTAGACTTGTCTATAGATCAAAATTTTGCTCATTAGGTACAATAGGTCCATTAGCTGTGTCAACTGGAACATAGCTAATCTATTGCATTTTTTTGGCACAACCTGTATAGGGTGGAACCAACGGTTTTGAAGAAACCTACACTATACTATACTATACCCAATTATGTGTAGTAATAAATTGTGTTATATTTTTCAAGCAATACATTCGCTGTGCGTTTGGACAATTCTTGAAAGAAGCAAAATCCAGTTAAAATGGCTACATTCAAAATGATCTCCGTGTTGCTACTCCTGAGTGCTTCCACCATAGTGAATGGCTGGCTGATTAAAAATATTCGTTTTAGAAAAGTGCAACCATTTAAACCGCCCCCAAAACCTGCGCCAAAACCGACCAAACCACCCGCATTCTCCCCGGTAAAAGACTCCCGATATTGTGATGAATCTGATATAACCAAGCTTCTTTCAGGAGGGGGTAGGAAGAAACGTGCGGTAAGTCAGTTAAAGGATTAGCTAATTCAGTTTGAATTATTGTTTGATAATTTATACGGAAACGTCATGCACTTACTTTATTTATACTGGACAGCTCTGTAGATACTAAACTGCTCTCTCTACTGCAGAAGAAAATTTGAGCTCCTGGATAAAACCTATGAACAAAACCTGCGATGTTTGGTATACTGTACTAAGCGGGTTGGTTAAAATATAACCAATTTGAATTGGTTGTATCAGATGTATTTTAATTAGACCAATCTTATTTGGTCAAAACAACCAATTTTTGGTTGTTTGAACCGATAAAATATTGGTGATCTGCATGAGACAACCAATTCAAATTGGTTATTCAAACCAATCTCTTTTTCACAGTGTACTGAGCTGGAGTGAAACTGAGGGCCCCCCCGGGATCTCCTGAAAATTTTTCATTTGTTCCCTTGCTACCCACAAAATTTAACCATGTTCTCTTGTTCTCTATGATTTTTTAGCCGTGTTCTCTTGTTACCAAGGGAGCCCTGGGAAATCTCCAAATTCGAATCCACTCTTCTCGCATAGGAATATTAATTAAGTCTGAGACGATATTATAACTGCATATATAACGTCCGTCACAGGGGATGAAAAACACATTAGTGCATGTAATATTTAGAGAATCGGCTTTTCAAAGCTCATACTAAATATTTCTTGTTAATAATACCATGCAGGCCTCATGGAGCTGGCACGAAACGCCCAGCTATAAGATAAGAGCGTCTATTTGTCTATAACTTTGATGATAATCGCTATTTCTCACAATCATCTTTGCTCGCATGACCAGCTTTCTGCAGATATGGTTCAATCTCGTTTCCTGTTTTGAACAGAGTCAACAGACAGAGTTCATTCTCCGTGACCACACGGCAATATCACAATTTCATTTTATAACGGCTAAAAATTTTCAAAACAACTGTCTGCATGTGTCATGTGTACGCAATACGCATGAGTCACACAGAAAGTTTCTTTTTGTGCCAACGGGCAGAATGAATCAGCTCTATACAATCAAGTGCAATGATGAGACTTTATATTTTTATCCTCTTTTTCAGGTTTTTCTCCTCCCCTCCCCCCCCCCGTTGACAATGTTATGAAAAAATTGAACTGACCTTATGCCTTTATGTCATGACTCATATTTCCAACAGTTTTAACCTACACAAGTGCTTGGGAGTTGGGTTGATGCAATTTTCAATCCATCGAAACATTATAGGTATACGCAATATGCAATGTGGGATAGCCTACAAGTGGGTCAAATATTTATTGTCTGACAGTATAACGTGGCGTGACTTCTACAGTCAATTATTGATAAATCATGCAATATAATATTTCTCGATTTAATATTATTATTAAAATTCAAGGATTGTACAATGATAAGTTGTTTAAGAATTTAATATACAAAAATAAAGAATTTATACCTTTGTATAATCCTTGAATTTTCAATGATAATTGAAATCAACATATTATGGAAAAAGATGAAAGTTTTAAAATTATATTAATATTATTTTTCCTCAGGTATTATGGCCATACGACTGCAAATATCCAAGTATCATAAACAGCAAAGGAAGCTACCAATTCATGTATAGTATCTACACTTGTTGCAAGCAATGTGATTTCCCTACTTACAGCACATGTGTGAAAAAATTTGGCTCTCCCGACTGGCGCTGTCCCAGTGATGGCGTCCACTGTATTCTTAAATGCGTCAGCACGTATGGACCGGGATATACTGAGGTTCTAGTGAAACCCGGGTCCGGGATAACTACTAGTAGCATCAGTGGAGGACTTGGTACTAGGCCTGGCAAAGGGACCGTCGTTAAAGTTCCTAAGAAGGTAAAATGTGAAAAAACTGAAAAACTCCCGAACGGCAAGACATGTATTAGAAGATTGTGCGTTCCACTGAAGACATAAACTTTTGTGAACTTTTGAAAACAGCAGCAAAGTCTGCAACACAAGTATACTATAGCCTAGCAATGTAGCTCAGTTTTGTTAAGTTTTATTTGAATGTTGATTTTCCAATCAATTTGCCAGTAATGTAGAACTCACTTATATG